ATATAAGTAAAAGTTTGTCACTTAGCTGCTTGAGCATACCGACTCCAAAGTTTCGTAGATAGACTCATGCGTCGACTCTTCAGGATGCAATTGATTAATTATATTTCTCGATTTTTTTTATGCGTCTATCATTGTTGTAAATTTCTTCCTATATTTTTTGTGTGCATTTGCGCTCGTCCGGCCCTGCGTCTGGTTGTGGGGATGTGCAAATATATATATAATTACTTTATTAAATACTCAAGCTATATATATATATATATATATATATGTATGTATAATTATTTTTTTTTATTATAAGAGATTAAGAAAAAAGACATGTTGAAATCATTTTACAACAGCTTTCGTGTTTCGACACTATGTTATGCTTCTTCAGACGATGGTAAGTGACTGGTGATTAAATGAGTTTTAAGAAAATTTTAAAAGCAAAGTGTTCATTTTTCGAAAGATAAAGGGGGAGGGGGGAAACACAAGGTCAGAATTAAAAATAGACTTGTGGGTTTGCCTTCAACCAATCAAGTACCAGATCTACGCTAAATAGAAAATTATGCTCAGATGTTGAAGGTGGGGGAGTTATTGCTCCATGCCATGATAAAACGGAACTTAGACAGGTCATTATTGACATTTGAGGAAAACATGTCAGCAGCAAATGTATCGTGATTGGAGACAAATATGACGACATGCTCAATTTTTCATAGGACAATGGGGGATGGGGGGGAGAATGAGGCGTAAAGTTAATTTGAACAGAAATTATTTTTGAATTTCAGATTCAGAAAGCTTCTTAAAGGAACCTCTCGATAAAATTACAAATATGTAACAGATATTAATAATGCTATCTGGACAGCAATACATAGCAATACTAAATCCGAGATTATATATATATATAGAGAGAGAGAGACAGAGAGAGAGAGAGAAAGAGAGATTATATATATATATATATGTGTGTGTGTGTGTGTCAATATACCACATAACACCCTTGAGCGCTTAGCCTTGGAGCGGGTAGAATGGAGATCAACGTGTTTTAGTGGACTCAGCAGTTTTCAATCTGCTTGTCTGAATCGTCTTCAAGAAACGAGAGCAAGAACTAAAAGGTCAGCCAATCTAACAGTGATCTCATCTCACAATCCTCACTCTTGCTCCATATGTGGCATCCTTTGTAAATCACTAGCGAGTCTTAAATGCCACTTAAGATTATCGCACAAAATTTCATAACTGAATCAACTAAGCTGTCAGAACTCGTACGTCGAAACCGAAGGGAGAGTCCAATATATATACAGAGAAAGAAAGAGAAAGAAAGATTATATATATATATAGAGAGAGAGAGAGAAAGAGAGAGACAGCGAGATCACACACACACACACACACACACATACACACATATATATATATATATATATATATATATATATGTATATATCACCCACACAAGACAGACATGCTTACGGAGGTGTTGAGGCCTCACACTTATACACACACCCACACGAATATACACACTTACACAGATCATACTCACTCACTCCCTAATGAGCCAAATGATAACACACACCCACAGCAATATACACGCTTACACATATCATACTCACTCACTCCCTAAGAACCAAATAACACACACACAAACACTTAACAGAGACACATCCCCTCTCCAGGACCAATAAAACTGTCAAACTGACCAGGGGAATTCAGAGCAGCATAGATCCATCCAGCTCTTATCTCAAATAACATCTTAAAAGAGACTGTTTGACCAACACAAGTAATGTTAAAAGATTCATGTTAAAAAGATAAAAAAATAAAAAAAAAACAAATAAAAACTACAGACAAAAGTTCATTTTCTCCATCAAGACATTCATTTCTGTAGTTTACTGCTACCAGCAAGCAGAAATATTTCTTCTCTTGATGATGGCCATTTTGGCTGAAACTAGTCAAGGAATCTAAATGAAATAATAATAAAAAAAAACAAAAAAACGAAAGAATATTAATCTACAACCCAGTGTGTCTGAAGATTTTAATTTTTTAATATTTCTATTGTTCAATATATATATATATATATATATATATATATATATATATATATATATGAACGAGAGATCACAAGACACACATACACAAAACACACACACACACACACACACACATATATATATATATATATGAAAGTGAACACGGAGGTCAACACCGAATGGTGACAGTCTGATTCATGCTCGAACGCTTGAACTTCAATGAATGTGCCTGAGACATACTGTCGCCCTTTGGGATTGACCTCAGTGTCCACTTTTACATGTACATTCACTCTAGACTTGATGTTGAGCCTTTAATAAAGCATAGCTTTGAAAGTATTTTTATCATATATTATCTTATTTATCACATATTATATATATTATATATACTATACTTTAAATTTATATATTTTTATATATTGTACTTTACTAATAATGATAATCTCTCTCTCTCTCTCTCTCTATATATATATATATATATATATATATATATATATATAGAGAGAGAGAGAGAGAGAGAGAGAAAGTTGAATTAAGTTATTTTACGAAAGGTGTTTGTCTTTCTCTAGCTTCTATACAATAAATATGAATGTCAGTGTGTCACACTTTTTCAATTAAAGGGAGACAATTCAGTAACTTTCAATAACTCATGTTACGGAAATTTTGGATTCCCAAGTTTTCATTACTGCGATTGTCTTTTGTGACTTTTTTGGCGACAAATTTTTATAACTTGGAAATACATTTGGGAATAATCGAAATTAATTGCGAAATCCAGCGTAAGTCACCAATGAAAGAAAAATAATTATTTGTACGGAATGTAAGGACTTACGCACATCAAATTGTCTTTAAATTAAGTGACAGGAGAAGAATTATCGTTGAACTTTGAAATGGTGAGCTTAAATATTAATGTAATACTCAAATGCAGCGATCAATTTTGAGTTCTTCTGTAGTTTATCGTTGCCTATCGCATACGACAGCAGTATGCCTCTCAAAAAGAAACCTCTGCCAACAGAGGGCCAGATTGCAATCAAAAGAGCCAAGGCTGAAGCAAGGAAAAGAAAATCTCGTGCAGATAAAACGGCTGCCAGTTTCCAATGCTGAGAATATGTAAAGACTTAAGGATTTTCAAAGTCTTGAAGAAGCAAAAAAACCTCCTCAGGAACTATAGTTTAAATGCGTATTTTTCATACATGTACGTTATTATAATAATTAAAATTGTTTAAAATAATTCTGTTACTGTCTTAAAACTGAAATCTTATGACGCAGTTTAAAATAGCTTCTGTTATCATTAAATAATGTATCCGAGTAGTTAGAAAATTCGCTTCTTGACTATGTGACACGGGTTCGAGTCTCACCATGGTTGATTTGTCTGAAAGGTGTCTTCTTGATATCATCGGTCTGGAGGAGGCGATGTCAGCGTGTGGGCACCTTTGGAAAGTACCTGAAAACCATACCACGGACTGACCCAAGCTTTGTGAGCGAAAATGGGTAGACGGAACGCTTTGGGAGCTGTCGGTGGTTGAGTTAGCACGAATACATGGTGACCCCATGTTTGAATGTCGGGGTATTGTTCAGACTATTGAACAAGATCTCTCCCAGAAACTGTGACTAAGGTCAGCTCAGCGTAGTTGCAGAGAAGATGTAAACAAAAAGGGCCGCTTATACTTAGCATCAGAAAAAGATAGTTGGAATTTCCAGGGCACATAGTGAGGAAAGAAGGCTTGGAAAATTTGACACTCACAGGAAATATTTAAGGCAAGTGGGCCATAGGAAAACAGAGCATAACTTATCTAACGAGTTTGTGTAAATAACAGGAATTAGATTTACTAAGAGCTACAAAGGACAGGAAATTGTGGAGAGCCATGATCGCCGATGTCTTGAAGGGACACGGCCCATAGAAGAAGAAGAAGAAGCTTGTATAAAGGGTTGACAGAACAGGGACTAGTAGAGACAGCAAAAAGACAACATTTACAAAGATCTACAAAGGAGAGGAAATTGTGGAGAGACTTGATCGTCTACGGCTTGAAGGGACACGGCGCATAGAAGAAGAAAAAGGAGGAGAAGTAGGTGCTTGTGTTGGCAGAACAGGGACTAGGAGAGATAGCAAGAAGACAACATTTACTAAGATACAAAGGAGAGGAAACTGTGGAGAGACATGATCGCCCACGTCTTGAAATTACGCGGCAATTAAAAACAGAGGGTAAGACAGGAAATTGTGTAGAGCCATGATCGCTGATGTCTTGAAGACACACAGCACATAGAAGAAGAAGAAGAAGGAGGAGCTTGTATAACTGGTTGACAGAAAGGGGTTTAGGAAAGATAGCAAATAGACAACATTTATTAAGGGCTACAAAGGAGAGGTAATTGTGGAGAGACATGATCGCCCACGTCCTGAAGGAACACGACACATAGAAGAAGGAGGAGGAGGAGTTGCTTGTATTGGCAGAACGGGGATTAGAAGAGATAGCAAAAAGACAACATTTATTAAGAGCTACAAAGGAGAGGTAATTGTGAAGAAGATTTTCTCTTTGAATTTTGTTATTAAATTACATTTTTGTATGAAACTCAAATGAAATCTGATTCGATTTTCTGCGCACCTGTTCGGGCGAATTATGTGAAACGAAACGGAAATGTTTAAAATACTTTGGGGCAAAGAAATTAATTTAGTGAAGGACTCCAATTATTTGGAATTTTTTTTTTTTTTCATAAATATTGGTTGATGATCTCAATTACATTAATTACTAAAAAAAATCACAAGGCTTAAAAAAATCATTATATATATATATATATATATATATATATATATATATATATATATAGAGAGAGAGAGAGAGAGAGAGAGAGAGAGAGGAGAGGTTCTACAAACAAAAGATTTTTTACCACTTTGTTATAGATTTCACTAATATATATAGAGAGAGGGGGAGAAGAGAAAGAGGAGAGAGAGAGAGAAATAGAGCAAAAAATATGATAGACTGAGATGTCCATCCATCTATCTATCTATCTATCTATCTAGATAGATAGATAGATAAGAAGAGAGAAAGCTATAACAGAACGAGATGAATACATAGAGAAATAGGTTGGAAGGTAGGAATGAAGAGAAAAAGAGAGACAATGAGCGAGACATATGAACAAACCAAGATAGATAGAGAGATATGGAGAGAAAAGAGACAAAAATATGAATAGACAGGAATGGATAGAGAGAACGCGAGCGAACGAGAGATATGACCAGAACAAGAAAGATAGATGTCTTTTTGCGACAGAATTTTAAAATTTCTTGTCGTTTTCGTTTTACTTATATTTTGTTGGAGGGGGGAGCTTTTTTATCACTATCTTTCTTCTTTATTTTACTCGCGTATTTTCCAGTTGATTAAAAATAAATGAAATAAAAATATTTGATACTCCAGAAAAACTAGATTGTTATTGAAAACAATGAGGTAGATTAGAAGTGAAACGCCACACCGAACTGCAGAGAAAGGAAATTGCGTAGAGAAGATTAAATGAATTATGCGCAGACCAATCCGGAAGTCAATGTTGGGACGACAAATGCCTCAAGAAAGGATGAAGATTCGGAGAAAGGCAAAAAAAATGTCTAACTGGTCGAACGACCAAGACACAGTAAGACGATTATGGAAGCGAAAAATGTGAAAATAAAAGAGAAAATAATAATAATAATAATAATAAGGAGGTTTTGTGCGGGAAATGATAAAGAAATGGTTCTGTGTCATTATGTGACTATTTGTTGATTTCTCTCGTGAAATCAATCAGACAATTGTATCGATAGATTGGAATTGGACTGAAGATGGTAATAACAAGAAGAATAAAAGGAAGATAAATAATAAACAAACTGAGATAGATAGATAGATAGATAGATAGATAATGAACAGACTTAGATAGATAGATAGATAGATAGATAGATAGATAGATAATGAACAGAATTAGATAGATAATGAACAGACTTAGATAGATAGGTAATTAACAGGCTTAGATAGATCGATAGACAGATAATGAACAGACTTAGATAGATGAACTGACTGATATAATGGACAGACTGATATATACATACATATATATATATATATATATATATATATATATATATATATATATAATTATTATTTATTTAAAAATATGATTCCATCGCTACATAAGAATTCTCATGTTTCAAAACAAGAGCCGAAAACTTCAATATAATTATTTGAATTAAATTGAATTAAAGTACCAAGCTCTGTTCCATCTTCAAGCGAAATTTACACACACACACACACATAAATATAAAGGTAAACACGCAACATACACGGACACCCCCCTATATATATATATATATATATATATATATATATATATATATATATATATATTGTGTCTTATTAGTCCTCATTCTTCTGTTTTATGTGCCGTGTCAGTTCAGGGCTTGGCCGATCATGGCTCCCCACAACTTCCTGTCTTTTATAACTCTTAGAAATCTTTGTCTTTTAGCTATCTTTCCTAATTCCTTTTCTGCCAACCATTTACACAAGCTTGTCATGTTATGTGCTGCTTTCTTCGATCCCTCTTCGCATTCGCTACGTCCTGTGAGTGTTAAATTTTCTAAACCCCTTTTTCTCATTATGTGGTCTAGAAATTTCAGCTGTCTCGTTGTGATTCTATGTATAATTGTCCTTTTTCTTTCTATTTTCTCCACAGTTTCATCGGTCCACGGTATTCTCAGCATCCTCCTGTAGAACCACATGTTTGTTGCTTCAAGTCTCTACTTCATCTGTGAGGAGATTGTGCAGTATTCACTGCCATAGAAGAGGACTATAGTTCAGTACTCTTTTCTTTGTTTCTAATAAACGTGCTAGATTTAAGTTTTTAAATTTAACATTATTTTCCTTTTGACGATGAAAATCTTTACTTGGTAGATAGTAATGAGTTTTAAAATTTTATACCCTATATTACTAATTCTTTACTTATTTGAAATTTTTCACAGTATTGAACTTTCACAGTATTGAACTTCCAGCAAAGCTATAAAATTCTGACATCTCTACTGTTCTTGAACTAAACAAAAAATGCGAGCCAAGAATGCATCCGTAAGAAAGGTTTTAATTCCATTAAATCGAACTGAGCTGAAAACTTGATCCTAAACTACAGATTGATTTTCTTATCGACAAGAAAAACTTAAGCATTTTTATTTTTAGGCTTCCTTACTTTCAAATTACGGACGTTAGCAGAAACGAAAATGCTTCAAAATTTCTTTGGAGTTTTGAAGTTAGAATCAGAGATGGTTCATGTTATGTCTTTTTCATCTTGCTCGAAATTCCAGAATCAGACAGCGAAAGAATAGTGACTTATGCTTTCATTAAATTCAGGAGGAAATGAACTGTCTGAATACAAAACATTTTTGCGAGTCAAACTCGTGCCAGGATGAAGACAATGTACAAGAGGCAGCCAAAACGCATATTAAACCTATTTAGTCTGTTGCACTTTCGACTCCAGCTTTCATTCACCGACTGCTTGTCGAGTTGAATTCGTCTCTCTTTATTAAGACAGTATTGTATCGTTCATGGAGGCGGCATTATGGTCTTTTCTCACAAACAATGAGATACGATTAGACCGACTTTGCTTAATACAACTTCTCTTTCATATTGCTATCAGATCACAATGATTAGCGTGTTGTTTTCCATCTTTTTTTTTTTCTCATTTCTTCTTTTTATCGAATAGTTCGCATTCAATCGATAAATGTTTTCATTCTTAATAAGGAATCTCTTCGACGTTTATCAGTTAACCTCTAAGCGTAAATTTCAAGCAACCAAAATTGTCTTTTAAATTATTACATGTCACTACGCCGAGTTAGACTAAACGCATTGGTAATGATATTTTGTATATATAAATGACAATTGTAAAGAAATAGGAAACAATTTAAAAAGGCGATATTTTATCATTTTTATTTCGATATAATAGAATAAAAGAAAAAAAAGAAAATACACAAGTATGCATACAAAAGAAGGAAGGATAAACAAGTTACGAAGGAAATATATATATATATATATATATATATATATATATATACCCAAGTTCAACACTATCACTTGATAAAACACCTTCACGTGTTGAAACAAAATGGCTATATTTGTAGTGATTTTATAACATTTATGTTATAATTTTAGAATAAATTATATATATATATATATATATATATATATATATATATATATATATATATAAAAGTGAACATAGAAGTCAACACTTAGAAGCGACAATCTGTTTCATGCTAGATGAAATCGTCAAGCCACGATATAATATATATATATATATATATATATATATATATATATATATATATATATATATATATATATATATATTAGTGCTATTAATTGTTGCTTTTTAAAATAATTGATTTCCTGTATCATAATTCGATGAAATTTTGTTAAAAAATGCTAAACTATGGTTTAATTAAGTTTTTCTTTATTAAAAAATGTCAATGGTGTATAAGCATAGTAGTACTAGTATGGCTTTCTGGAACCTTCTAAAACTTGTTTTTGTTTATTTGGACGTTTGTATATTATGCTATAGCTATAAACTGTTAAATGAGTTTAAATTACGCAAGTACTATTCAATTAAATCATAAACAAATTGCATTTGTACATAAGAAATTTGTACATAAGAAATTTTTAAATCATGGGTTTTATTTTGTAGGTTCCCTTTGTGGTCTTGTAGTATATGTAGGAGTAAAAGGCGAAGGATATCTTCTTTTGGTAGATGTGTTACTTGTAATGAATTAATGGTTCGTGAATCGGATTAGTTAAGTATAGGATAGTTAATAATGACCAGCCCCAATCCTCTCCCTACTTTTCTGGCCTTGTGCCGCAATTATTGTATTTTACAATAATAAATATTTACGCCATTAGCAAATTGAAAAATAAAGCTTCGTAAATTTTCAATTTTTGTTTATTTGAAAAGTTGTATATTATGCTATAGGTATAAAATGTTAAATACGTTAAAAATACATAAGTATTATTCATTTAGCAACTTGTAAAATAAAGCTCGTGAAATGTTTTTGATTTTCTGTCCTTATTGCACATATGGTAAAATCGCATTTTCGGTTTGAGGGTGAACTTTTTCAAGAATTAAAATAAATTAATGTCTTTTTTCATTATTTTTGTACAATAGTTCATCGAATTATTATTATTATTATTATTATAATATATATATTTTGATATATTTATGGAATAAAGTGCTTAATACCAAGGATAGAGCGTATGTAAATATAAAAGTGAACATTGACGTTAACACTCAGAAGAGACAGACTGTTTCATGCTAGACACAATCATCAAGCCACTGGGTAAATTGTCGCCATTTTATATTCTTAGTTTCGCGTTGTTCGTATTTGATTTTTTCGATTACACAGTATAGTAGTGTCAGTTGGACATCGTCTGTGAGAAAAAGAGCACCATGACGCAATTCACTGTGCCAGAAATTTGGAAACGGCATGCTGTACTGCTTGGCATTCGTGCCGGAAGCTTCAATACGAACACTTCCAAATGTTTTGGTGTTAATCTGAGGACAGTGTAGAGGATTCAGAAAGAGTTGGATGAGTCTAATGGTGATTACGAAGGTACGACAGCTTGGAAAACTCACTCTTATTCTTCTGAAAAAAGAACCCCCGAATGTGTTGATGAGGACCTCAGACTCCACACGGAGACCTACATCAAGTGGCTTGAGGAGGTAGTGTTCCCCTGGGTCAAGAGGGTGACTGCTAGAAGACCCTATGTCTGGCAACAGGACTCTGCACTATGCAACACAAGAAGAACTCAGTCATGGCTATCAGACAATTTCTTCGGCCAGATCACCCCTTATAACTGACCACCTAACTCCCCAGACTGCAGCCCTCTTGATTATTATGTGTGAGGCGCAGTTGAGCGAGTGACCAACAAAACTCTTTGTAACACCAAAGATCAATTGAAGGCAAGGATTATGGCAGTATACACCAGTTTAAACAAGGAGACCGCCCAGAATAGTTGCAGGAGATTCCAAAGTTTAGAAAGCCACTAAACTAATTGAGTTTCTTTTTTACAGGTTTTCAGATAAGACGTTTAGCCATCTCTTTTTTTTTTTAAGAATCCCTGAACAACACTTTGTGTTATTCAGTTAGAAAGAGAACAGGTTAAAATCGTTTTGTGTGAGCCCCACTATGTCTTATCAACTGAGCAATTGTGTGAGGAAGAAGATGATTCAAGCATTCAATAATGTTACCAACATTCATACTCTGGCTTCCATCTTAAAAGTCCATTCAAGAACCATCAAGAGAATGGTCAATAAGTTTAAAAAAGACGGAGCAGTAGCGAAGAAAACTGAATCAGGAGGTCACAACAGAAAGAGGGATCATCTTTTCAACTTAGAAGTAAAGAAATTCTTATTGTTCAAAGTAGAGTGTTATAAAACCTCTTAGAATACCAGTGAGATATCTTTAATCATTTCTATGATACAACGGTTCAAAGCTTTATCTAACAATTAGACAATTTGGATGTAATCCTATATATATATCCTATATATATATATATATATATATATATATATATATATCATGGCTGGCTATTCGTTTCCGTACAAATCCAGAGCCGCTAAAGCCAAAGAGTCCACCGGTTGTTTACACTGCAACTATGGTGAATGGACCTTAGTTGCACTTTCTGGGAAATAGCACATAATATAGCGTGATCAATTTGTGAATAATGGCAATGGGCTCGGTCACGATGACTTGTCACTTCGTGCTAGCACAACCATCGACTGCATCTAAACGGTTCCATCTTACCCAATTTCATTAAAAAATGTTATGGTTTACAAATACTTTCCAAAGTATATACATATATGGTGTATTTCGGCAGCAAAAATTCTTTTAAACATGTTTTGTTAAATAATATACACAAGTTCTGTCTGTCAATTTTTGTTATTAGATATTTAAAATTTCCGAATAAG